AATTCCAATGGTCTTGCAATCAGAACAGCAAGAGCATGCATCAGCATACAAAGGAATGCACAATAATAGGTTTAGCAATAATGATTGTTTGGTGGGAATGGCAAATCCTCTCCTTGAAGCAGACTAGAAGCTTCATTGGCTGTGGCAGGAAGGAATTACTCTGCACCGATCTTAACAGAAAATATAGAGTGCTTTGAATATTAAACTTTAACAGGGCCTTAAAAACAAACAAAAAAACCCCACAACTGTGTACAGGAGAAAATGTTTGGTTTTGTTTTCTCTTTGTTTTGAAGGTGAATTAAAGAGAGATCTGCTGGAGTCCCAGGAACGGTACACAGTGCTCTACAGATATTCTGAAGGCAAATTTTGCAGGGACAGGTAAGATCTTTTACCACACCCGCTGATGTAACTGTAGAACAATTGCTATTATTGGCTAAGTGCTCTGAGTTTAATGTGATGGCATAGACAATTTGAGGGAAAATGTGTATGGGAGACGTGTCTGTTTATCTGTAGAGTTGGGGAAGAAAAACAGCAATGGAAAATGTCGTGTTGTTTTCTCATCTTGTTGCCGGACAGGAAAAGGAACACCTATTTATTGCCCATGGAAGGTCGAGTATTTACCTGGGTGTGAAAGCACTCTCCAGGGCATTTCAGAGCAATCATATTATCCTCTGCTGGAAGTGTGAATAGAAAAACACGCTCCTATTGATCACTGACCACCATGGAGTAACTTGCCACAGAGGGCATCCTGCAAGGGTGCCTCTAAGTAGCCATCATGCAACCAATACCGGATCTGTTTAAGGAAAGACACAAAGTCAAGAAAATTCCCCATGACCATGCAGGGCTCAGCCAAATTCTGGCCCTTAAAAGGCAAGAAGAGGTGACTGCTTGAAGACCAAGACCACTCCTGCTCCCTGGAGCCCTGTCAGATGAATGATCCTTCTCTTTTCTTCTTCCTCCCTTGCATCACAAGAATGAGTGAGTTTCCCAGATTACAGAGGATTTTTTTTTTTTAACTATAAAAGAAACAGATCCCTTGTGTGGAGTTTGTTTGTATCTTGTTTTGTTTTAACTGCATTTAAACCAAAACCTGCAGCTCTGTCCACAGCCAGCACTTGCTATTCTTCCTGGCTTGAAAAGCAGCTTTGGGGAGTAGCTTGGCAGAAGCTTTGTTTGTGATCTCCTAGAAAAACAAGGCTGAGTGGGATCGTTTCTACAACCCATCACTGCTCTGAGCATTTGGACCAGAGCATGTAAAAACAGGATATAAAGCTAACTATCAAACTCTTCACCATCTTTCCCCTTTCCTCGATGAAAAAAGCAGCTGACGAGGGTCAAGTGAAGTGCCATTTTTCAGTCTTACACACGTTATCCTAATTTCAGATAAACAAGGCACTAGAGATAATTGTTTCTGTTTTACAAATTACTAATTACGATAGCCAAGGTTAAAAGGTTGAGGCAGCTTCCTTCCTTCTCTCTGGCAGTCAACAATATTTAAGAAAGAAAAAAAAATAGCGTCTCAAAAGAAAAAAACAACTTCATTCATCTTAAAGACACAAACCAAATTAAAAATACAATGTGACAAATACTTGTTAAGATTTGATTTTATGAAAGTCTAGGTCCTTTAGTCACATTAATCACAGAATATCCACCTGAAAGAATGAGTTAGGGCTCTCCTTCAGTAACAAAAAGATACATGAAAGAAATACCTGGGCTTCACAATTAGAGATACCGTACAAAATGTGAATTGGGCTTTCCTTTCTGATCTCAGTTGTTTTATACAGAAATTGAATCAATTTTTCACTAGTCCCAGGAAGTCTCTTAGAGACCCTTGCCTACTCCAGGCTATTACAAGAGGTTGCCCGAGGCATTTCTTTCCTCCTCCTGCCTACAGGCTGTAAGTCTCTGTGAGCATGACAAAGCTGAATTGCAGTAAAACTGCATTACCTCAATACAGTTTTAAATCCCTAGAAAAACTGTGATAGCTTCACTGGGGCCAAATAATTTAAGTTATTTAAAGTTCAGAATATCTTTTCTTAAAAAACAATATGCAGAAACTATATACCTAATTACTCACAAAACTGTAATAATCACTATAAAAATGTCAGCACTTACCAACAATTAGCATACAGATATCTAGCTCAGTATTTAAGGAGGGAATTTCTGCATGTTACAGCACAGACTACTGGACTGCTAAATGTCTTTTTTTTTAATGTCCAGTGTCTTCTTGGGATTCTCTACAGCAGACATGCCCTATAGTAGGACAGCTGACATAAAAGAGTAAAGGTAGGTTAAAATTAATTGTCTGACATATGAACTAAACTAACTGAACAGTGATGTAAACCCTTCAATGCTCTACTGAACTGCAGTGAAATACATGCCTGCCAAAATCCCCCAAATACTGACTGAACTAACTTGAATATACAGCCATGAATCTTGATTCTCTTGCTCTTTCCACAACATATTCTTTCCACATTTCTTTTCTAATCCATTTGTATCCCTAGCAGAAAACATAAATTACTTTTGTGAGAGAAGCTCACAAAAAAAAAAAAAAAAAAAAAAAAAAAAGAGAGAGACAAAAAAAAAACCAACAACAAACCATCAAAACAAACCCAGCTCCACAGGCTGCCTTGAATATAGCTGAATTTCCTCTCTGGCTGTCTGGGCTTATTGATCAGAGGCTTGAACTTTTCACCCCATTAGCAGAACAGGCTTCCTGATCATCAGAGAGTAATGCCTGTCTGCTCACAGAGGCTTCTGCCTGCGGGTACGGTAATAACTGACATCCATCAAGAAGTGCTTTTCCCATTAATTTTTGCACGCTTTAAATTAGAAGACTACTATGATTACATAGCCATTCTTGATTCCTAACAAACCAATTTACACAGGCAATGTAAGTGCATATTTCAGACCTCCTCAACTAATGTTAGTGAGACAGGGACCTCATAACGTGTACAAGCCACTGAGTTCAGAGCAGCATTGTCCTGAAGTTACTATATTAGCAAGCACCCGGAAGGCATGCACCCAGAAACAAGTGGGTCTGAGCCAGCCTAACAAGCCAGAAGCACTGAACTGGTAGCTTCTCAGGAGCATCCCGCCTACCATTAGCCAAATGCCTTGCAAAGATCAGCCTTCTCACAGTACTCCTGTTTACAGTCAGCAATATCAGAGACACCTAAACAGAGACTGAACACCAGAAAAGTGCAGTTTCCGTTCAAAGCAGAACACTGAAACTTCAGTGAACTGTGTGTCAGGCATAATATACAGATCTAGAATATTGAAGTGCTGTTTACCTCTGCCAATTAACTGACCAGGTTGAGAATGAGAGTGCTTGAATTGTGATATCAAACTACCAAGATGTTTAGTTAGTGAACTAGTAAAATTATAGGAGTTTGATGATTCATATCTGTGCAACCATGTGGCTGTTAACGAATGACCTTACCATAATCTATACATTAACAACTGAAACAAACTTGTCCTCTTGGTGTCCAGCCATTTCAAGAAGCACAGTGGCTAATGTGGCTTCACCAAGGGCAAGTCATGCCTGACAAATTTGGTGGCCTTCTATCATGGAGTTACAGCATCAGTGATAAAGGAAGAACAACTGATGTTATCTACCTGGACTTTTGCAATGTGTTTGACGCTATCTTGCATGACATCCTGGTCACCAAATGGGAGAAAAATAGATTTGATGGATGGACCACTTGCTGGGTAAGGAACTGTCTCTAGATGGTCACACTCAAAGAGTTGTGGTCAATGGCTCAATGTCCAAGTGGAGACCGGTAATAAGTAGTGTTCCTCAGGGATTGGTGTTGGGACTGGTGTTATTTAACATCTTTGTAGGTGACATGGACAGTGGGATCAAGTGCACTCTCAGCAAGTTTGCAGATGACACCAAGCTGAGTAGTGCAGTTGACACGCTGGAGGGAAGAGATGCTACCCAGAGGAATCTGGATAGACTTGCGGTGGGTCCATGCCAATCTCATGAAGGCCAAGTGCAAGGTCTTGCACCTGGGCTGCGGCAATCCCAAGCACAGATACAGAGCGGGCAGAGAATGGCTTGAGAGCAGCTCTGAGGAGAAGGGCTTGGGGGTGTTGGTTGATGAAAGATTCAACGTGAGCTGGCAATATGCACTTGCAGCCCAGAAGGCCTGGCTTGTATCCTGGGTTGTATCAAGAGAAATGTGACCAGCAGGTCAAGGGAGGTGATTTTGCCACTCTGCTCT